GGCTTATATAAGAGGTCTACAAAGATTATCACGAATGGAATAATTAAGAGAATTTGAAGGGTACGCTTGACTTTTAATCCAATATACTGTATGTAAATTTGATCTATGCAAAGAATGACTTGAATGTCAGACGTATGCAGATACAGTATCACACTTTGCTTCATTCATTCCTGGTACGTATGGATTGTTTTTTTTTTTATACTCAACAAATTTAATACTGCATGAATTTTCTCTTTTTAATAATTATATAATGAAGGAGCCATTTAACGAAATTGTTTCTTTTTTAATGAAAATAAAAGTGATGTTAAGGATTAATTATAGTAAGGAACTTGGATTTTTTGCTTTATTTATTACGCGATTATCTCTTCAATTTGAGTTCATGGATCCGATAATTATTGCATATGCACTCCGCATATTAAATTTTTTTTTAAATTTGTTTAGTATAATCATTGGACTCACGAACTTATAATGAAATTCATCGATCCAATTGTTAAATTAAAACAATTATAAATATCCTGTGTAGTTGGATATAAGCGAAATTTTTAGTAAAGTTTAATCGACCGCTGTACATGGCCGATTATACTCACTGCAAAATTCCACTTATACCCAACTGCCCAGGATATACTATTACAGTCGCACTCCCATATAAGCACCTTTTATATAAGCACATCACCTATATCAGCACATTTATTTTTCGAACTAACTGCTATTAAATATATAAAAATAATTCTCTATATAAGCACATTATAAGTATGTGTTCTATATAAGAACACTTTTTGTGGGTCTCTTTGGTGTGATTATATGGGAGTGCGACTGTACTAACATAATAAATCTTAATTTCAATCGATGAAATTTAAAAAAGGAAACATAAAACGTCAATTGTATGTACAGTACAATATATTTTGAAATCTGCATAGGGTATTCATATTTTTAACAATGAGTAATTTAATATACAATGACGATGAGGCTTAACAAATCGTGACTTACTAATAACAAACCGGAAAGTAATTCAAGCATAAAACATATTGAAATAGAAGAAGCAATTTTAACGATTGATATTAATCTTAAAATTTTTAATTTTACACACTTGAGAGTTGTTTATTAATAGTATCACCCTTGTCTTTTTCTTTATTAAGTTCATTATTAATTTCATCGGCTTTACTGTATCAATTTCATTTGCCTTCATTAATTCTGTTCGTTTATTGTAAAGAAAAAAAAAACTCACATAAAATGAGTATATACGTACCTTTTGGTACCAGATGACATTAACTTGGCAACCGTAACTCGTTGTTTTTCATTGATACATATCGATATTAGTTTCCTGCATAATAATCCGAAAATTTTATAATGAGGATTTTATTTTTGCAGTATAATGATTTAAAGGAATGAAAGAAATTCCTTTGTTTTTTTTTGAAAAGGACATTAGAAGTTATATAAGAGGATAGGTGATTAATTATGTTATCTTGCTAATGGGAGATTAGTGAATCATCTTCTAGGCATGCTAGTGATTTAATAGTTTTATTATTATTATTTTCAGAAAAATATATTATGTACTAACGAAATGACAGCGAATTTGATCACCATTCTGGTTATCTGCATTAAAAATCGATTATAAAAATAACGAAAAACAGAATAACAAGTGTCATAATGGATTTATAGGTAATTCCATAGATTAAATAA